GCCCTTGCCCTCTGCGGAGCCCCGCCGGCACCGGCACCGGCAGCGCCAGCGGCACCGCCAGGCTCGGCCGCCGTTTCACGCTCGGGTTCGGGCGAGAGCTCCTGCATTTTATCCTGTTTCGATGTGGGCTGCTGTCATGTCTGTTGGTTTGTCGGGAGGTTGGTTTACCTTTGGGTTTGGGCTCTGGTTTTTTCTGCCGCCACCGGCTGGAGCCCAAAGGCCCCAGAGCAGCCCGGCCAGGTGGAGAGGAGCGGAGGCAGGAGACGGCAGAGCCCCGAACTGCCCTCCGATTGTGGGTGCGGGGGGCAAAGCACAGCCTGTTGTATGGACGGACCCCAAATTTTTTGGCTTGAGAAGAGAGAGTAATTCCCAGGGAAATCAACCCGTCTTTTCAGAGGGTCCGCAGGAAGGGTTAGGAGACAATTTCATTATGATTAATAACGATAAAAATTAAAGCCGCCCCTCCACGCTGCTTTTCACGGTACAAAGAAGGAATCACACCACGGCAGGACAGCCGGCCAAGTGGGGCTGCTGCCACAGCTGGGCACGGGACGGCTCCCGCTGCTCACCGACGGCGGGGCCGTGCGGCCGAGGAGGGCCGGGAGCCGTCGGGGCACAGCCGTCGGGGAGTGCGGGCACCGGCCGGGACACCCGCTCGCTGCGGGCATGAGGGTACCGTGGAATGCCAGGGCAGGCTCGGGACGGCTGGGGAAGCCTCAGGCCTCCCTCCAGATTGGTTCCCAAGCTGTCTGCAGGGCCAGGGCAGGGAGATTTGGGAAGTGCAGGTTCAGCGTAGGAGACAAAGCTGGGGAGAGGGAGGGGTTTGAGGTTGACGGTGTCGAGGTGGACAAAGGACAAGGGCGAAGAGGAGGACTTCGGGGCCATTGGGCCACCCTCGCACAAGGCTGTGAGAGGGATCTTGGCTGCTCTACCCCCTAAAAAAGCCCCAACCCCTGAGCCTGATGACTTCCTGCTCTCCTTTGAGCGTGGCAGGGCCGGGCCAG